TTTTTCATGTCTTTGTTTTACAGTAGAGATACAAAAATAAACAATGTACTATATCCCCTTCTGTCTTAATTTGCATTTGTTTACTTCAGGTGAGGTAATTCACAAACTTCACCTACTGGCTCAGTTTAAATAACTGTTCTCTTTCCACATTAATAAAAACATTTGAAGGATGTTGTTGAACAACTGATTATTTTCATTTGTACATTTTTAACTGACATCAATGCCTTTAATTGTAAAAGAATATATTTTCACTTTGGTCCATATTTCCATCGCAAGTTTGGTCTTAAATTTTTTTTAAGGTGGTATTAAAAAGGTCTTAAAAAGTCTTAAATATAACTTCCTCATACCTGTAGTCACCCTGATAAAGCTATGCCCAGTTGTTACGTTACTGATCCTTGAATGGATGGAAAAAAGAGTCACTGTGTGGTGTGTTGCTTTTCATAGCTGGCAGAAGAAGGCTGGAAAGAGCTGTGGTTCCAGATGCAGTCTTTGTTGTGTCCTTTGTTCCAAAGGTGAAACTCAAGGAAACTGGTCGCTCAGGGTCTTTGCAGAGTTAGACGCTGGGTGCTAATTCGCTTGGTTCTCCTTGTTGCTAGAAATTAGTTGCAAACCTTGTGCTTGCAAATCTAACTTCTTCTCTGGTTCAGGCTTAGAGAGTCTGTGATCAGTTGCCCTCCCTTTAGCGGTTTGGGGCATTGGCCTCTGAGTTGGTCAGAGGTGGTGGGAGCTGCTCGGCATCTCACAAGCAAGAAAGCATCTGGGCTGTTCTAGGCCCAGCAGAAAAGAGGGGTGTGGGCAGCTCGGCAACTCTAGAGCAAAGAGGAAGATTGTTTGAAAGGAGCAGACCATCTACAGATGCTTGGCGACATCAATCTAATCAAGTTTGACGACTGGTCTCACTGGGAGTTGTGAGGTGATCCCCTGTGGAGATGAGTGTCCAATAGCTGTCTTTGGATTTTAACAAATGACAAATCATCTGTGGTCCTATGAATCCCAACACTGTCAATCGCACTTTAAATTTCTGAGATTGTTATTTCCTTTTTTAGATCTTCTTTTTGTTCTGCAGATAAACATTTAAGCTCTACTAAGTTTAAAAATGGCATTGGGTCATAATTCTCTGTTATAATAACAGATTTATAGAAATTACCATAATATGCAGCAAACTTTTGATTAATTATTTCATTGTTCATTATTGCCCTGTTGGAAACCATGTCCTTCAAAACTACAGTGTGTCTTTTAATTACTCCTTTAACCAGTGAACTCAATTGTTTTCCTGTTTTGTTATAAAAGATACTTTATTTGAATTGTGCCTAATATCTTGAACTTTTTTAAGTATAAGATTGTCTTCTAATTTTATTTTTTTCAGTCTTTCTAAATCTACTTATAAATATCTCAATATTATTTTTAACATAGTTAAGACATTCTGTATCAACCATGTGTTTCCTATTCATTCTCCAGATTTTATGAGAAAATGTATTTATTGAGGGCGTCACTACGCGTGTAACTGCAGCATGATCCGAAATAATATCATGAATTTTAGTTGATATTACATTACCCAGTCCAATACCAGATATAAAAATGTCGTCTATTCTGCTATATGTTTTTTTTAGCATGTGAATAATATGTATAATCTATCCACCTTATTTTCAAACACGGAAGTAAATAGTTATCAACTTCCGTGTTTTTGTGCGTGACTTCCGGTCAACCGCTTTCCCTCATGCTTTCCCTTATCGGAGCTAACGGTGCAAGCTAATTTTTTTCAATTTTCAGTTGTATATGTTAGTAAATCAGTTAGTCAGTTAGTTAGTCTGTGTATTTTATATAGATAACTGTGCCCACGTTTCCGTTATCCGGTGATTGCCGGTAAAAATAATTCCCTCTAAACGCGAATAAATCGCACGTCAGTCAAAAACTATGAACCAAAAAAGCACAATCTATCCCGAGTGAGACAAACTGCTTGATCCCTGTCTCCAGTGTACCAGCAGTAGGGTTGGGACTTGTTAGGATTTTAACAATTCCAATTCCT